GAAAAAACAATAATAAATTCAGTATGTGTAAAAAAAAAAATCTAAACAATAGTTTTAAATTTCTAAATTTAAAATAAACTACATAGTTATCCACGTTGTACGCGGAATAATACGATACGGAAGTAAAATCAATATAGTTTTAGTTTAAAAAATCATCTTGAAAAATTATTATACGAAATCCAAAACTCATTTTATATATATAAATTTTGCAATTATTTTGTATAGAAATGTGTTTCACTCGTGATATAATTTAAAAATGAATTTTACTTGTTTTTTTTTATAAATCGTGGGAGTTCCGAATTTTTGGCTTATATCTCCTCGGAAATAGTCTTTGGATATTCCGATTTAAAAAATAACTCTCCGTCCCAATGGGAGTTTGAACCCGGGGCACAATTTTTAATTTCTTAGTCATTATATTTCACTTATTAATAAAATGTATTTGTTTAATATTAAAATCTTCAAAATATGGTTATGATTCAAATATACAAAATAGAAGATATATTGCAAATATATATTGAATCCTACGTGTTTAGAGTAATAATATAATTTTTAATAATTTAATGGTAATATTAATATACAATATTTGAATAATTGTTTTAGGTAAATTTATAACTATTTCAATGTGTTTGGCAATTAGGATTAGATTGATTTGGAATTAAATGTGTTTGGTAATGAGTATAGTGGAATTAATTAAATAAATAAATAAGGAAAAGAAATGATTTTTCAGATTTAAAAATAAAAATAAAATAAGTTTGTTTGGCTATAGATATTATGGGAGGAGGAGGTGTTTGCATTGTAGGATAGTAGTAGTTAATTTTATAAGATTTAATTATTTAAAAAAAGTAGAGAAAAATTAAGAGATTGACACCTAAGCAAAAATAGTTTAGAATGTTTCTCTTTTACTATATAGAGGATAAATAAATAAGGAAAGATATTGATTTTTCAGATTTAAAAAAAAAATTAAAATAAGTTTGTTTGGCTATAGATATTGTGGGAGGAGGAGGTGTTTTGATTGTAGGATAGTGGTAGTTAATTTTATTAGATTTAATTATTTAAAAAAAGCAGAGAAAAATTAAGAGAGTAACACCTAAACAAAAATAGCTTAGAATTTTTTTCCTTTAATATACAGAGGATTAACGCCCGCAAATGATGTGATTAAAAATAAGTTAATAGTGATGGTCAACGATAAAACTATGCCAAACGGAAACCCAACAATATAAATCGGAACCAATCTAAATCAAATATAACCTTTTGGTTTGATAGCTGACTGCGTATAAGTCTAAATTATATTGGGACAATTGGAAAAAAACCATTTTTTWTKTKTACWTTTGCAAGAATGCCATTTAAGAATGTCTATTTGCAACAATACCACAAATTATGGATTTTTTAAATTCTAAATCTTAAAATTATAAACTCTAAAAAATGTTTTGACCCCTAAAATCCCTTAAACCCTCAAAACTAAACTATAATACAGCATAGTTAACCCAAACATAAATGATATAATAATTTTTTTTATAAAAAAGTGGCATTTTTGCAAAGATTTTGAAAATGTGGTATTTTTGTAAAGTGGCACTTGAAAAGTGGCATTTTTATAAATTTCTCAATTATTATATTTAACCGAACGGATCAAAC